GATTCCAAATTGGATCCGAGCAAACATCCTTCAACATCGTTTTGAATTTGCTCAACGGGTTGTCATAGAAGGAATGAAAAGTTTCCTTGGTTGTGAGCCTGGCATCACACTCAAGCACAATCTCACATACGGCAGCTAAGGTCATCGTAATAGAAGGCGTTGGCAGTGAAAAATGCACCTCTGGCGTGATCACAACCAAATGGACTTGCCGCTTGTATTCCTGATTCAAAGCCGAATCAAAGACAATGACTTCAAAGGGCCCTGTTAGATTTGGCATCTTGGCAAGGGGATCAGTCGGGTCGATGATGGGCAGCAAGAGAGCACAAGGTTCTTTTGGTACAACTTCCTTTGCCTGTTGCAGATTCCCTTTGGAGACAAATGCAATGCCTCCTCTATTCGTGGAGAGCTGCTGCTTCTGCACAAAGGGAATCGAAGATTTGTCTTTGCCGACAAAGGGATGGTCCGACTGGAGCTGCAAATCCTCCCACTTGCTCTGCTTCATGACTTTTTTCTTATTGGTCCATGGATCTTCAAATTGCCAAGGATCAATTGCCGGTGCAGCTGGATCAGGTTGAGGTTGTCCTTCCATACCACCAAGAGACACAGCTGAGCACGGCTGGAAGACCTGAAGGCCACCAACAAGAAGGAAAGCTCTTCGGAGATTTTCAGCAAAAGTTCTGAGCATTGGAGGAGCTCCTGCTGTTCGCCATGCTCTGGTGGACTCCTCAAGGATGAGCTCCAGAAGTTGCCGTTTCTGGGCAGGAATATGGAAGTCAGGCGGCACAGCAAAATCTGCCACAATCCACCTGTGGAGCAACTCCCATCCACACATTCCCGGGCGGGTTCTGGTTGTGTCAACAATGATGATTGGCCTGAAGCCCAACGGGATAATGAATTCTTCCGCAAAGGTTGTCCAGTATTGCTGAGCAGTTGCAGGTGCCTGGAGGATGACAACTCGGCAAGTATGTTCAACTGCATTGCAAATGACTTCAATACCCACCCAGTGTCCTTCTCTCAGTGCAACAAAGCGCTGGACTTGATCTGACATTGGCTTGACCCCAGCAGCAATAATCGAAAGATCATGATGCAGGACTGGCGGGCAAAATGATTCAGGCAAGAAGTACGACATGAAGAATTCAATCTCATCGCTGGTCGCCCATCCTGGATGAGTGCGATAGATGTTGGCCCTCATATCCAACCAGTCATCAGCAACAAAGAAGATCTCATGGATGTTGTATCCATGGGGGGGTCTTCCAGTAGCTCGAAGAGCAAGATCATTCGCTCTGCTAGGCGATTCCATGATTGCCACCAAGAAGGCATTGCGACTCGCTCTTGCGAACTGAAGCATACGATCATCTGTCTGGGTATCACGCCAAACGAAATCAGCCTGGTCAATGATCTGCATAACATGTTCACTGTGTTGAGATCGCTGCAGACGTTGAGTGGTTCGATGAGTGGTAGACAGCAATGGTGCACCTGCTCTGGCATAGAAGGTCCGGAGGGTATGCCACGGTGCAAGCTCCGAGTCTTCTGTGGTTCGGATCCATCTGAAGGCATTCTGAAGGACACGAATCCTCATGACATTGATGAGCTCCAGGACCGCAGTACGTTGTCTCACAGTGAGTTGTTCAGGCGAGTGGTACAATACCCTCCATTGGCCCTCAAAGAAGCGAACCTCGACAAAGATCCAATCAAACAGCACCAAGATCGGGACCACAAAGTGTTGGAAGCATCGCTGTAAATCAGCTGGTTCGACTGGAAAGCGGAATTGGGCTTCATTGTTAACCCAGACTGCAGGAGGGCACCAGCAAATTGAGGGCATCAAAAGCTGCAAGGTGTCACAGTGAAAAACCATTTCATCAATAGCCAAAGCCCCTGGCTCAAGGTTGAATTGCAGAAGGCGAGCCATGACATGGTCATCATGTATGTTGCACCCAGGATTCTCCGTAAGGTGGTCCATGCCACCGAGAGACACATGAGCTGCTCTTGCAGGGCGAGCATCACACCAAAGGACGTCCCCATTGATCAGCATCAAGGGTTGATCAGCACGGCATTCAATGGCATTCCTCATAGTAATGGCACATGTTTGCTCCAGCTGAGTCGAACATTGGGTGGGTGTCAAATTTCGGGGCATGTTGCAAATCTTTAACCATTTGAGGTCATTTCCACCAGCCAGGAGAATCCACTTGTGAGTGCTAACTGGCTCATATGGGCCATGAATTGCCAGAATAACTTGGACACCTAAGAGAGTTCTGCACGCCTCTTGGTTGACCTTGACAAAGTGCAAGCACTGATCACCACACTGAAAGGTCGGAATGGAGCCAAGACGATCAATATTGGCATGCTGGACCCAATTGTACGAACCATCTTGCTGGAGCAACAGGACTTTGGTAGTCAACCTTGGTTGCTGATCTTGGCAAACATATTCAATGACATGGAGAAATCCATTGAGGTGCGCATCCAGCAAACAATCATGCTCAACGTCTTCATCATGCTCACCCCATTGTTGCGTGGGGGAGACAATGGGATCTACAGTATTTCCAAGTCCAGCACGGTGGACCACAATAGTCCCGAGGTCAAAGGAGCCACATTTGAGAGCGAGGTTTCCAACTGGAAGCTGTTCCCATGTCAGATTTTTGGGCAGGTCATGTCCGTCACTACTGAGCACAAGGAGATGCACATGCGAGGGTTCCAGTTCCAAAGCCTGGAGAAAAGTAGAAAGAACACCTGAGTCCTCATTCTTGTTGACAGGCAAGAGAGTAAAGTCATCACAGAAACGCACCAAAGTGCATCCTGCCAACCAAGGCTGCCACGTAAGAAGACTCGGAATGGCCTTCCCAACGACGTCCGCAATGGGTTGAAGGACATACATCCCATCAACAAGTCGTACAATCGCATTGTCAGTAGTGAGCCGCTCCTCCCAACATTGCATTACAAGAGCCAGCTTAGGAAGCACTTCTCCAGAGACTCCTTCCATGGCGAAGAGAACAGCAACCAAGGCATGCAACTGTGAAATAGCATTTCCCAGTTGATGAAATGCTGTGCGCAAATCGCCAGGCAAGGCCAAGGTGGATGTAGTCCCAAAAAGAGATGCATACACAAAAGGATCGATAAAACGGAACCCATCATTCTCCTGGAGCAAGGCAGCAAAGATTCCTTTGGATTGAACATGTTCTGCTTGAAGAAGATGCTGTGCAGTGTATGACGCACACAGGGTAGGGAGATACTCCCCACTTTGCAGAGTTCTCTGTAGCAAAACTTGGAGGTTGGAGGCACCCTCAATCACACGTGCCTTCTTCGCCGGAGGAAGAAGGTCTTTGTTACCATAGATCTGCAAAAGAGTCTCATCAAGCGTAAGGTCATCAACAAGCGACTGAGGCAGAGTGAAACAATGCTTTCGGTCATTCCACAAGGCCCGTCGGCTATGTGCACAAAGAAGGCGTTCACTTGATTTCTGTCCAGTGACATCATGTCTGGACCAGACTGCCAGCCATCTAGTTCTGTGGTTGCCTGTAAGCTGATGCATAGCCACATCTTGAGACCACAAACGCTGATAGCCAGCGAGCTGCATAGCGGCTGAGAGGACACGCCAATGAGGATGGGCTTCAATGCCATCCGAACATTCAAAAAGTGCCAGAACCGGTCGCGCTCTGGCCACATGCACGATAGCATCCAAGAAGCAAAAGCCTTCATCCGCAGCAAGGCCAGAGTTCTTGCCACCTCTACTCCAGCTGGGACATGGCGGGGACAAGGTCATAAGCAGGTTGGATTTGCTAGAAGTGGCTCGCAGCAGCGTGACATCATTGATATCGGCTTGAATTCCAACATACTGTCCAGTGGGATTGTAGTCCACTCGAATAGGACAAGTCAAGACTTCTTGCCTGTGATTGTAGCTCCATGTCTTCATCACTTCTGGGCACCAGTCAACCGACACATGTGAGGCAAATGCAAAGCCCATGTTGGCATTCTGAAGCCACCACATTGCTCGCAACCAACCTTCATAAGCACCACAAAAAAGGTGAGAAACTTGCCATGCAAGACTGCTATGGTAGGCAGGAATGTTCCAAACAGGCATCGTTTCATCAGCCACTACACATGCATCAGCATGACGTTGATGAGGCTTGACCACCAAGCCAATGCACATTCCTGGAGAAAGATCGACTTTGCTGTGCTCCACAGTGCACAGGAGGTCAAAGGTCGGCCAACTGTGATCCAAAGACTCATCTGTTTGCAGCAACATTGAGGTACGGCGCACCTTAGTCCGAGAGGGTGAACCAAGCTGCACCTCAAGTACCTCCCCAAAGAGGACCCATTCTTCATCAGCACGGTCACATTCGCCAGTTTGGGCTATGCCTCGAAGAGCTTCAGCAACAGTGAGCGCCAGCGTTGAAGGCATCCCCATAGTCGACCATTGAATGAGCCCTTCCACAGCATGTTGACCTGCTGTTCTCTTCATCTCCTTAGTACCCATGGCAATCCCGATGCTGGGTGAGCACCAGGTCAGTAGACGTCCAACCCTCGCCTCAAGAGAAGCGAGCAGCCGGACCCCGGCCCTTGCGCGGGGGCGTAAGCCAAAAGGTTTTGGGCCTAGATGGCTCGGGGGGAGCTTCCTTGAAGAAGCGCTCCCATTATATAATCACTTGGTTTCTAGATTTTTAGGGAAAGGGAACTCTATTTTTGAGTTGGCCGTGGAAGCGGTGTTCAGTGTTTAGTAAATCATAGCGGGAAGATGTTTGCAGTTTTCGACGTGGACAGTGTACAAGCAATATTTTCAACAATTGATTGATGACAGGATGAACTTTGGACATCCATGGATGACATGATGGCAGCTTAACAAGGCTTTTATAACCTAATGATTATGTCACATCATGGCCTCCATAGCTTCATGCGATTGAGTTTGTTTGGAACATTATCTGAGTCTAATTAGGCTTGCCAAGTTGGACTGTTTTCCAGATCCAAAAGCTTTTTGCACCGAGAGTCTGAGAGTTCAAATCTCCCAGGTTCTCTCCGACCTGGGCACCGACGTGGTGAAGACAGGGATGCTGGCGACCTCGGAGATCGTCCAAGCCGTGGCGGATGCCCTGAAGGCGGACGCCGTGACCGGACTGGGACTGTGCAGGTTTGCCCGTTCTTTTTCCATTGCATTCCCCCGATGAACTCTAGGATCACTAAGACCTGCAGTCTCCATCCTCCTGCATCGGACTTGCTCACACTGGTGCCAACAGATTGCGCGCAGCAAGTGCAGCAAGCGCAGCAGGTGGCACGGGGAGCCTCGTTGGTGGTCGATCCTGTCATGGTCTCCACCAGCGGGCACACGCTCCTGCAGGAGGACGCAATCCAAAGCCTTAAGGAGGAGGTGTTTCCGCCGCTTGGAATACGGTGGAGTTACAAGGAAGTGGGAAAAAGAAGATTGGTGGCCGCAGAGTGGTGGCATTAATTCAACTGGCACAGAGGGCTAGCTGGCAGGTGGGTTTGTGGGCTGGGAGGCTAGGTCTTCATCATGATGGTCGAATTCGCAAGTTCAATGTGGACAGGGGAAGCGTTTAAAGCGATGTCTTTAATATAAACTGGAGCCAACTAGTACGACGGCGAACCTGGCAAGCCCAACTCGTGACATGCAAGAAACGCCTTCACAGGACCCTCAAAAGGCAAACAGATTTCGGTGGTAGCTTGTGCAAAAGGACAAGTTTAGGAGCGCTCACGTGACCTTTTGCAGGGTTGAGACCCCAAGGTCACTTTGAAGCAAACAGGATATAGTAACTTTGTGCCATTGGTTTGAGGGTGGCGACAAGTTCCCACACCTTGGAGCATGACAGCCAAGGCATGCGACAATTATCACCCCAAACTTGCCGGAGGCTGGAAGGGATCACTTCTCCATGTTCTCCGTTACACTCAAGCGCTAAAGAGATCTAAAGAACATGTTTCAACAAAAAATCAAATCCCTACGACGATGTCAAAAGGCATGCTTTTGATAGCTTTGGCCTTGAAGTTGAGGAATATGAGTGCTTTTATATATTATATATTGATTGCGCGCTTTGATCTTGTCCTCTACTTACAAGCCAGTTGTTGGAGTACATAATAATTTGTTCATGCAATACTTGCACAGAGTCCTCGTTTAGAAGTGGGCTTTTGCTGTATTCACAAGTGCAATAACATTTGCAATTCTTTGTTTTGCAAAAATGCCGGCCCACTTCTCAAACATCGGTTTGGGATGACTTGGGCGTGTCTCAACCCCCGCCGCCAAATACCAATCGTAGTAAGTAGCAACATAAGGGGACAAAGCTGGCTCATGGAAGTTAAGCAGCCCAGCTTGAGACATGACCAAATAAGAACTGTGAACTGACCCAGCTTGCCACTACAGATATATTGGTTGACAGACCTACTGTTTTCGCACATAGTTTTTGAAGGGCCGCAAATCATAGATCCATACCCCATGTAAAACTCCCCGAGCCATGAGAAACATCCAGCGACAGTTCATAGACTCGGGAAGCTCAAATGGGGTGGAACGGGTGCCATGACTGCACATGACAGAACCATTAACAATATGTGTATACATATAGTTGGAAGCTCATTCCTACATGGCTACCACATATGGGGCAAATCCATTGAGCAAAGAGATTTGCCAATCCTGGCAGTCCACTAGCCACTTACGACCGCCAGTATGCGCAAAGTGCAGTTGTTTCACAAACGATGGTCCGATAGGCCGACTCTCCAGAGCGCAGCACATTTTGGAGGGGGATCGACACAAGACGCTTATTGTGTGGGGAAAAAGTTTTGCCCTCTCTTTTTATTGAAACCAGTGGAACAAGGCTTGCTTGTTGCTGGGCTTGAAAGAGATCAAGACTGTGGCCTCCATGGAGGAAGCAGCGCGGCAACTCACAGCCTTGGGACCTCGATGGGTCTCTTGGTGCTGAGAAAAGATAGCTCCGAAGTTTGATGCCACAACCAACAATCAAGAATGATGCATCAACATGCATTAGCTTCAGTATGTTTAATATGTATGTATATATATATATATGTCAGTAGATGATGATTATATAGATCACTCATTAATTATACTCGTACCTATGGATGTGTATGATTTTTGCCTGGGCAATTGTCAACGTAGAGATTGCCCCAAGATGATTTCTTTCTCCAGAAAGAAGTTGTTTTTCTTGGCTCCAGGTCTTGGTGAAAGGCGGACACCTGCAGGAAAGCGTGGAGGAAGCCACAGACATCCTTTGCAGCAAGAGTTCTGGCGACTCTTGGCTGACTTGCTCATCACTGAAACTCATGAACCACTTGTTCGATGGCTGGCTAAATCTACAAAATCACAGGTTCTTCGTGAGACAGATCTTCACCATTCCTTATGCAGGGAGGCGAACCATAAGTGAGGCTAACTGCCCGTATTTGATAGACCCTTCGTGACTTCACAGGTTCACCGGTGTGTGGGTCAGGAGATCTTGTGATTGCAAACATATATTAATATCTTTCTTTCTTTTGTTCCCTCAACGGAGAATCTTGGGGTTAGCTTGAGGTCACTGTCCTTGGGTCACTACGATACTGATTTGATATTTGTGATTAGTCAGTAATTGGTATACATTGTATACGTTATTTGAGGGGCTGGACTCCATTTTTCATTTTTGGAGTTTGAAGTGGGTCACCCCTGGGTGACCCCGCTTCTACTCTCCTCAAGTTGTTGACCCACCAACATCATCCAACAAAGAAATTGAAGATGGGTGATCTACTGGGCCACTCAAACTAAAACGTGAAAAGTGAGTGTATCTGTCACATGAAGCAACTGGCCCGCCACTGGCCAGTCAGGAGTGTATTCACTTCAACTCAAAGATGATCCCGAAGACAAGCCACACCCACGGCACTGGCTGCACTTTGGCCTCCTCCATTGCTGCCTTCTTGGCAAAGGGCCTCCCAGTGCCGGATGCTGTGAAAGCGGCCAAGGACTTTGCCTCTCGACGGTCAGAATGGTCAGTGATCACCAGTGGTCTCAGACTAAAGAGCGAGCGTTGCTGGGCCTGTAATGATTTGTATAACTCCATTATATATATTAAGTGTGTGACTCTATGACTAGTGGCAGTTGGGATGTACTGGGGCAGATTCCGAGCCTTGTTGTTGATACTGGAAGGAGGCAGCGGCAGAGGTTTGATGGGCTTGTTTTGCTCTTCGCTGCTTGCTTTTTCATTGCGAACAGCTCACCTGTCCTGTTGTTTCTTTTTTTTGAGGATTGTCAAAGAGGAAGGATTCACTCATAGGATTCACTGAGACTCCAAAGAAAGCACCTTTTCTGGACCTTTTTACCTTCTTCCTGCCCACAGATTTGGCTTTGATGAGGTGGCGTGGGTTCAAATTGTAATCCGCCAGACCTGGTTGGTGGTGGTTCCACATCCCCATGTTTTGTTATATACCACCCCAGCCATCCCAACCGAAATCCAAAGAAATCCCAAACCAATAATGACAGCTCCAAACAAGCATTGACTACCTGTTTTGAACTCTATACTTCTTCCGGCAGATGTGTTTCAAGTGCATGCAAGTGAGCATCTTGTTGAAACTTTCTGGGGAAGGCGATTGGCACTCAATCAGGAAATCCTGTCAGTAGCTGTGCTTTATGGGACCTCAAAAATGCATCCAGCTTTCGGCTGTGATGATCAACCCAGCTGATGCTGCTCAGGTGAGCGGGGCCATCGCGGCATCAGCACACTTAACGTTGGGGAGTGGTACCCAAGGGCCGATGAACCACAGCTGGGCACACTTCGTGTGGTGAAAAGATGGGAGCTGGAAACTGACGAGGGAAGGATTTGATTTTTGTGGTTGATCTTGCCCCCACTGTCTCTCTCTCTCTCTCTGACAATCTTTCAGATCCTCCTCCTCCTCCTCCTCCTCAGCACCAGCACCAGCACCAGCACCAGCACCAGCACCAGCACCAGCACCAGCAGCAGCAGCAGCAGCAGCAGTTGCAGTTGCAGTTGCAGTTGTGGGACAATGATCACGTTGTCAGAACATACAACAATCGTCAAAGAATAGACATCAAGCTGCAAACATGCACATGAATGAACAGGTGAGGGAGATGAAATCCCTCAGCTAAAACAGCCACAAGATGAACTGAGCTTTGAGGGAGGTTTGCATGCTTACATGTATAGTTGATAGGAGGAATCTAGGACCACTTTGTCCAAGATTGGAATTATCATGTAAAGAGTTGCATCATCTGAAATCGGTATGCTAAAGTAGCATTGCCGTGTGAACTGTGTTACTGAACGCCAACTCGTTTGGCTCAAGAACTTGGAAAAGGTGCAAGGGCCGTTGAATGCCGATCGTCGTATCGTCCGCTGCCTTTGCGTAGGAAAGCCAGGTTTCAGAGTTTCAACTGGTTATCAGCCGCAAGAGCTACAAGGAGACCATTGGTTGAAAAACGAGACCATACACATAGATCGAGACAAGCTTGTCGTACGAAACACTGGCATTGTGTTGAAACTTTCTTCAAACACTTGTTGCCTCGCGCTTTCGAGCGCGATCCATGCCCCCGCGTGAGCGCGAGCGTGAGCGCTCACGGAGACGACGTGGACCCCGAGGAGGGGATCCAAACCGTCCGAGTCAACAATCGAGAAGGGAACGCGGTCTCCCAACAGAGGACCGCACCAGAGAAGCAGACAGGGACACTCGACATCGTGATCATCGGGTTGAGCGTGGTCGTGATCGCGAGCGCGACTACGCTCGCGAGAGCAGAGACTGGCGACCTGCTCGTGAAGAGCAGCCAAGAAGAGAAGTGTACCGGGCGCGAAGTCCGAGACAGCCCAGGTTCCCACCTCCTGGTTTTGTTGAGACTTGGGAGGTAAGACGCCCGCCGAGGCCGGCGTCGGAGACAGAAGAAGAATCGCCTCCTGAAGATCCACGGTCCAGTCGTGTTGAGAGATCGCGGACTCCTACAGAGCGTGTTGAGAGGTCAAGATCGAGGCCGCAACAGCGTGGGAGTTGGAAGAAGTGCTGGGTTTGGGTGCCTGAGGGCGGCTTGAGCCCAGTGCGGGACGACAGCAGAGATCGCGAGGATTCGCGAGCTGACGACGAGATCCCTCAAAAAGGTAGAACTTGAAGGTGAGAGCGTTGATACAGTGACAGGTGAACCCCGTGAACATCGTGCAGAAGCTGTTGATCCTGCTCCTGAGGTTCCTGGTGGCTCGCCTGAAGTTGCATCGGGCGTTGACTTTTCGGCGACCGAGGATTCGATCGCGAGGCAGGCTACAGAGGCGGCTACTGAACGGTCTGCATCAGTTGAACCCGAGAATATTCGAGAGCGTGCGCGTGAGCTTCGATCGAGGGCAGCCCGACCTACGGCCAGCAAACCGTCGCCGTCAGTCAGTGAAGAGCCGGTTGAGGAGAGACCACCTGTTGAGAAGAGGGTCAAACCACCTCCAAAGGCCACGTCAGCCAAGGCCAAAACAAAGAAGGAGCCGAGCGAAGCTGGTGACATTGGGCGTGACGTTGGTGTTGTTGAACCGTCGCGTACGCGCGAGGGCGAGACATCGTCGGCCTCTGGTATTCGTCGAACGTTGGTTGACATTCCAACCCCGCCCCCAGCTCCAACAAAGGAGGAACTCGAACAAGCCGAGGCGGCGAGGCAGCTTGAACTGTTGAACTTACCGCCACCACCTCCTGCACCGAGAGTGCCGCCGGTACCGGTTACCGTGAGATCGACTACAAAGCCCAAGCTGACTGAGAGGATCCAGCCAGTGGTGCTTGCTCCGAGGCCGAAAGAGAGGCCAGCTCAGCCTGAGCAGTTGGCGCCATCCCCGTCAGCTCGACCGCCTGAGCCACGTGGAGCGCCGCCGGTCTGGCAGGACAAACCCCTTGTAAGAACTTTTCTTTCTATTCGGGGGTGGGAACAGCAACCAGGGTTGGCAACATATGTGCACTTTTCTGCACTTGTTGCTCCAACATACTACTTGCCATGAACTTGCACGCATTGCTCGAATGCGCATTATGGCACTTACTTACTTGCGATGAACTTGCACGCGTTGCTCCAATGCGCATTGTGGCGTTTACTTGCCAGGTCTCCACACTCGATATCCTTTTGTTTGAAGGACTCTTGAGCCAAATTTGTTACCAACATTAATTTTCCACCTAGTAAAAACATATCATTTGTTAATGGGTTGGGTGGGTGAAAACTGACATCAGGCCACTATGTCACGCGCGTGGTTATTAATTAGTTGGTGCACTCTGAACGTTTCTCCAGTCCCTGAAGTGTTTCACGTTTTGTTTGAAAACTGCAAAATTGTTTTCTCGCACACCGGTCGTGGTGGAACCGTTCAGTTACTCTTCCACTTCACGATCTGATTCCAGAGCTTCTTCCTCTGGGACTTCACCGTCATGCTCACCCTCCTCCTGCAGATCCACCTTTGGTGGAGCAGGCTCAGCAGAAGACTGGTCGGCCTTCCGTCCAGTTGCTTGGTTCTTTTTGGCTGCTTCTGCAACCATGACAACCTAAAGGAAGCAACTTACAATAAATAATGGTCATGGTATTAATGACACAAATCGCGTTTGGCGTTTCACTCAAAAATGCTTGGGCAGTCAGTGCAGACTTCCATTCTCATGTAGTTAAACGCGAACTGAAAAACAATGATACTCAGACATGCCACGGCCAGCTGCTTCGAGTCTTCCTTGGACATTCCATCTTCAATCTTCTTGCGGATGATTTCCTTGAAACAAACCGAGACACAGGACCCATACGAAGATCAAACATATCTATATATACATGTTTGTTGACTAAATGTGATCAATTCTGTAAGAACCGTTCAGCAATGTCGACCTGTTGTTCTTCAGGGACATCTGGGTGGTGCTTCACCTACAACGAAATCTTGAATGAAAACCACAGACAGGTTGGCAAACAGGTTGAAATTGAGTGGACAAATCGAGCCCCGCACCGTCAAAAACTCCGAATCATTGCATTTCACGCCGATCTTTTTGTCCCCGTAGTACCAGTATTTAACGACCTTCCTCGGACCCGACTTTGCAGAAGCTGCTCCACTGTCACTGCCAGCTGGCCGCTTCATTGAAGGTCGCTTCAAGACTGGAGTGTCGTCAGGCGCGACACTCTCTGCGTCACCCTTCTCGGCAGTGGCAGTGTCAGCAGCCTTTTCATCACAACTGGCAGCAGGTTTCTTCTTGCTACTAGGGTTCTTTCCTTTCGGGGTCGGCTTACTCTTGGGGGTTGGCTTTGGCTTCACCACTGCCTTCGGAACCCCCTTGTTTCCCTTGTTCTTACGTTTTTCGTCCTTTGTTTCGCTTGATGGTTTGGGCGTTGGGACCACCTGCTGATCCCCACCAGCACCAGGGGCACAGGGCCCCGCCGCATTGTCATCTGACAACTCAGTGATGTCGGCGTTCGGCATCTACTGGATCACTCCTAGGCGCTTCGCCTCACGACTGCTAGGCTGGAGATCAACCTGACTGAGCCTTTCAGCCGCAAGGCCAATAAGTGTGCCAAAACTTGTAAGTTTAAAGTAAGGCTGTCTCAATCGCGAGTTTGAATCCGACTAGTCTGACACTCCAAGAATCAAACACATTCAACATTTTCTGAGCTCCACAAGCCAAGCAGGCGTCCTGCGTTTCGGAATCAAAATAGGTCGCCAGCTTCAAGCAGCTCAAACCACCAAAGCCCACGCATTCTCTCTGAGGTTACTAGAAAGTTCGTTATAGGTTGCCTGAACGTTGAGTTTTCTTGAACAGCGCCCCATCAACAAGACTGGTCTCTATACAGAGCAGAATCCTGATTTGGGCTTCCCCATCTACACACCCCTCATTACTAGCTGATCTTCACTGCTGTGGCAGCTGCCATTTTCAAGTGGCAGGTCAGCCAAAACTTCGGCTTCAGAGATTTGATGTTGGCGTGCTCCAAAGCCACCTCCCAACAAATCAACAACAGTCAGTCTGAGATTATTCAAAGATTCGTGGCAAGGAAGCTGAAGATCAAAACACCAACAAGTCCCACCTCCCACAAAATACTGGCCCGTGCAGTGTCTGGTATCTTGGAAAGGCCAAGGCCATCTGACAAGTAAGCTGCCCCAAACATGCTGTAGCGGACGTCTTGCCAGTTGACATTCGGGGCCAGCGCTTTTGGCTCGAAGACATTGACTTTCGCGTGCCGTTTGACTGTGTATCTAAACGGCTTTGGAGCGCCAGCCTGGCCATCCAGGCTTTTGGGCTCTTGTGAGTTGCAACGCGTTGATGACCAGTCTTGAAACAAGACACTCAAAATAATAGCTATACCGGTCCTCGTCCACAGTCTGCTCCAGGGTGTGGTCATCCAGAGAAAGTTCCACCAATCCAGCGCTCTGAGTGGCAGCACAAGACAAAGTTGATAGACACATACATTTCTTAGTTCCTTCCTGCACGCGAACCATAAGATCAACATCCCGGAGGATATTGAAAGGGATGGCTTTGTCCTTGTTCTGCAATGCGCTACCTACCATGGGCCACGAAGTGCGTGCGCACGCGCAACTGACTGCACAACTCACAGCAATCAACACCTAAAAGCACATTGCAAACAAACGTCGCAGCCAAGCCTGTTGGCTTGTCTGCAAACGAACCAACATTGAACCCAAAGAGTTCCGCAGGACCAATTGAACGCTCTTCATTGGAAGTGTTGAGCAGCCACAACTCGCCCTGGTCAGTAGCTACCAACCACACGTCTTCTTGGGCACACATCTTGCCCTTGGCAACTGGCCTGGGAAACACGACGCACAGTAACAGTAGCTCACACACAGTAGTTAA